AACAGCATGCGTTAGAACTTTGGTTGCCCCGATGTCCAATCCACACGATGCAGGGCGACTTCAAGGAGCATACTTTCGAGTTGCTTGCGTCTTCTTCTCAACTTTGTCGACCCAACGAACAAAGCGAAGCAAAGTGAAGTCAGAGGGAAATCCACGAGAACTAGTTTTTAGAGTTAGTCTAAATGGGAAAAAATTCGGCTATACGTTCCAAGATTATAAATAAATACTCCGGGAGCAGTTTGAAATGAAAACAAAACTCTACGGAATATTTGTATTTCTGAAAGTTTTGGATGATTTCTTTCGTAATCAGACAAGAGCTCGGGTACTTGTGTAAAAAATATCTTATATTCAGAGAGTTCACATCACCATGAAGCAGAACTAGTTTTACTAATCATAACTCTCGAAAAACATTGTTCCGTATCAAATATTTCCTGAAATTTACTGCATAAATATAAATGAATCTACACAAAATACAATCCAAGACAACGACAACCAGAAAAAAAAAATGTCAAAACAATTTGCAGAATTTGAGGAGAAGAGTGAAATAATCCGAATGCTAGAGCACGAAATGTGCCAAGACCATTAACATTATCGGAACCAATTCTTAACAAACAAATCTTAACAACTGCACTAAAAAAACAACGAGCAGCTCGAATTATATGCGTCACTGCACAATTTATCACGAACTATTCAGAATTTACAGCTTCAAATTACTTGAATTGGCTAAAAACAGGGAGAAACTAAAGCATAAGGGGTGACTGTAAAATCGCCATAACCCTCTCTAACTAATCACGTTCACAAAGTGTTCGATAAAATGCCAAGCATAAACTACTACACAAATCAACATAAAAACACAGAGGAAAATTGGAACTTACGAAATCAGATTATCCAGAGATATGAGAACGAATTACTTAGCGTCCAACAAATTAAAAAAGAAAAAAAAAAAAAAAGCTACAAATTACCTGTATCTTCAAATTGGGAGACGTCCTCGTCCGTCCGATTCGTCTAAGTATCAATCAATTTCCTCTATTTTTTTCATTTTTTCTTTTTTCGGATTTTTTTTTTTTTTTTTTTTTTTTTTTTTTTTTTTTTTTTTTTTTTTTCTTCTGAATCCGTCGACAGGCTTTGGAGCAATGCTATGATTCACTCGTGCAACGTCAAATATGCACCAGGGCTCGTTGAGGAGATGAAGGGGTGACGTTGAGAGTGGTGAGGTCAATCAATTCCGTTTTAGAGTTAATTATATGTTGTGTATCTTATGTATAACTACATCCAAATTGGATTTTTACAGTGATTCGGAATTGTGTAATATGTTTAATCTTGTTTTGGAATTATTTATATGTTATTTATCTTATATATAGCTATATAGTTAATAATAGAGAAAAATTACATCATGTTTCTCTGATGTGTATATATTGTATATCTGAATATATATTTAGTGGTTGGACGATTTACTTTTTTTCGACTTCAAGATGTCGATTCACCGAATTTTTGCTCGACCAATATTTTTTCTATTTCTAATCCCATATCGTGATTTAAAAAAAAAAAATGAAGGAAGGGATATCTCGACTAGATCGGGCTTCGTAAATCGATAGCCATAAATATAATGACTATGAGTTATAGATATGTAAATTTTCCTTGAAAAAAAAAAAGAAAATGATGAAAAATATAATAAGAATTTACCGTCCTTTTAAAGACTTACACAGTCAACCAAGAGGAACAAAATAGTTAAAACGCAAACATATACACAAAACAACTGAAAATGAAATAATAAGAATATGTCTTCCTTTTTAATAACTTACACAATCAACCAAGAGGAATAAAATAGTTAAAACGTAAACATATACACAAAACAACTGAAAATAGAACACTCCGTGTAGAAAACTAAAACTCTAATAATGGAGACTAACCACACAAATAATAAGGTTGTGTTTTGGTAAGCATATAAGCTAGGTTAAAGATTATTTGAGTTATAAACTTCTTTATTAAATTGATTTGGTAGGAAGAACGTTCTTAAAAACCCTGAGTTTATCTC